ACGGCCAGCATAAATCAACATATGCACAGCTAGACAACTCCATTGCCCACAAAAACCTACTCAACAAAAATCTACACAACCTAACAAGGACCCAAAGAGGCAATTTTTGCTACTATCCTCTTTATCCAGCACAACAAAAACCTGTAGACCCCAATCAAAAGCTCTGTGCTTTTTCGGTACTTCCTGATCTCTCTTAAAGCCACAGTTCCAAGCTTGAAACGGTGCAGCTTCTTCACTCCTCCTATTGCTGAAGCTAACTTCTGAGTGGTTCTTGGCTAGTTGCTTATGTAGTGCCCTTGCCTCTAGTGGATTTCCTTGCTATTTGTTTCGTGCAAGCCATTTGAAAGGTTGATAATTGAAAGAGCGGTTTTCTATTTGGATTGAGACTAGAGAAGTGCTGAAGTGGCAACAGTGGAGAAGATGGAGTTGAGTTTGTAAGGTGGAGACTGAAGAAGGTAAAAGTGTAAGGGTCTGTTTAGGAGTTTTTTTTTCACTGGTTTTGGGGGGTTTTTAATTAGACTGGTTTTGAGGTATTTAAAAACCCTTACTTGCCAAATTTTTAATAGACTGGTTTTGACTGGTTTAAAAACCCTTCAAAACTAGTGTAGTGTAATTTTGAGGGGTTTATAAAACACCCCAAATTCGGGTGTTTTGGCTGGTTTAAAAATTTTATCCCAAAAAACCCTTTTCCACTAAATGATAATAATCCCTTTGCTGCGCACAAATCTTTTGCTACTTGATTTCTCTCTCTTACAAAGTGAGTGAATGGTTTTAATTTGTGAGTGAATGTTTTTAATTTGCTGCACACAACTCATTTAATGGGAGTCAGTTTTGTTTTTTTCAGTTTTGTTAAATGGGAGATGTGAAGAAGAATGGTGGTTATTGATAAGGGTGGTGCAGTTTTGTAAGTGGAGATGTTTAAAGAGAATTTGTATAATGAAGTGGTACTGATAAGTGTAGTGCAGTTTTGTGAAGTGGAGATGTTAAAGAAAATGTGTATAATGGAGTGGTATTGATAAAGTGTGGTGCAGATTTGTTTAAAGGGAGATGATAAGAAGAGTGTGTAATATGGGTTGGTACTGATATGTTTAGTCTGTTTTGTTTTTGTCAGTTTTGTTAAATGGGCTTCCTATAAATACTTTACTCTTTAGCTCTCTCTTGTTCTTCGTTTTTCCCTTATTTTTCTTTCTTCGGTGATTCTAAAATTCTTCAAGGATGACTGGTGTTTTGAATATTTTGTTCCCACAGTTTTCTGACATCCTAAAAAAATAGTCACCTGTTTGTTTTTGTCAGTTTTGTTAAATCATCCCTGTTGTGCATTCATCATCTCTAACACCTGTCATACCATCAAAATACACCTAAAATTTTAAACCAGATTTGAATTCCTGCTTCTCCAAGCCATTATAGCAGTAGATGCCTCTAACCCTGCATGAAACATTAGCTTCAAAATCTTTTATCCGAACTATTGCAGCTGCATAAATCAAAAAGGTTTTAAAAGTAATATGGAGGTGTGCGTAACCCAAACCTATAGAGTCAGCAAAAGAGAGTGTTTTAACTGTATGGGCATATATGTAAATTTATCATTTAAAAAAATTGTCAGAACCGTTGAAAAATAAACTCCCAAGCACATGTTAGGTGTTTTAAAAACCGCTACTAAAAACCCCTCAAAACTGCTACGGTGGTTTACCCTTAAAACCGCTACGATGGTTTACCCTCATAACCGCTACCATAAAACTCCCAAGCAGACCCTAAGGTGATTATGTCAGGAGTTAGGGATTTGGCTTTTTTTTTTAAAAAAAAATTTCAAACGGGTGCCCGCAAGTACCCGGATTGCCTATTTACAAGATGGGCTGGGCCAGGTGCAGGTCCAAAAAAAGGGGTCCAATCTTAAGGATCCGTACCCTATATTATTTACCCGAGTATGGGCCAACCCGTGGGTAGGGACCCGTTTTGCCAGGTCTACTAACATCTCGCTAACAACAGGGATTAAAGGTTATTTCCGAAACTAAAACGGTTTTCTGTTTTTCTCACTTTTCACTTAAATCTCTATAGTTTAAGTCTTTTTTTTTTTTTTAAATAAATTAACACTTAGTTTCAGATAAAATCACTTAATAGAAAAAGTAAAATTTTGTAACTTAAATATAACACTGAAATTTTTTAAAGAACACATTAATCAAATTATCTTATATATTCTTATGCATAATAGGTATAAACTTATATAAAATGTTAAAAGAGGTATACAATTTATTTATTTAAAAAAATTGTATAATATCTTGAACAATACGGTGGTTGGAATAGGTTGTCGGAAAGCGGTCACCAATGTCGAAATCCGATGGATGAGAAATTTTCGGGCATGCTATGTTAACAATATTGGTATCAGTATGTGCATCTTTGAACGTTCTATCTATTTATACAAATTTTAGTGATAATAAGGTTTTAGTTTTTTCCATAATCTAAAGGAGAAAGTTTGGCAACAAACTTTCTTTGTCAGATCCCATACAAAATACACAATTATTGTCTTCAAAAGTTATATGGATAAATAGATCGTGCAAAGAGATCATTTTTATACCAATTTTGAATCCTAATCTTGCTGAAATATATTCTGATTGCTAAAAGTTGCCATTGGTGACATTTTTCAAGCGACCTATTAACAATTTTTAAATTAAAACGTTTATATAATTAATTTTACTAACCTACCAATAATTTTAATAATTAACATAGTGAATACATAATTAATAATTAATTATAATTTAAGGATATAACTATAGTTTAAGATTCGTGTAATTAACATAAGGATAAATTAGTAATATATAAGTTTTGGACTTTTAATTTAGGTATCATAAATTCTAAAAACAAACACATCACATATCTAAACACTTTTAAGTTATAAATGACACTAAATTCTATTAAGTTTGAAGTAAAAAAATAAACACAACCTAAAGGATTTCAACAATGTTCTGCAAACCGGACTGGACCAACTAGTCTAACTGGTGACTGGCGCCCTCTCTGATCTGGTTTACTATTTTTCATTGTTCATCAAATCCCTAATTTGATAGCTAGCGAATGAGGGACTATCAAATGTCGAAGTTAGAAGGGGTTTTGTATAGTGGAGACCGATGGTTCAAACTTTTTAGATCACGGGACAGACCGTCGGTTTAACCGGTTGGACTGATCAACCCGTGACTTGGCCCTTTGGCCAGGTGGCACCCCTAGCCAAGTTTCAGAACATTGGATTTCGATACTACCATAGCTCAAGGGGTTTAGAGTAATTTTCCTTAATTAAATAAAATAATTTTCTGAATAAAAACAAATTGTTGAGAAGGGATAATTACTTTAAACCCCTTACTGTTGACATAAAAAGAATAATGAGCTTAAAGTCCTCAAATCCCATACCCAACCCTCATGTCTCATACGCAACGATGACACTAGCTCACCTCCAACCCAACCTAACACCAAAAATATTACGTTTACAACCCAATCTCACAACCTTCTCTTACAACCCTAATGTGGCAATAGAGTTGACATGGTCGACTTTGACTAAACATGAACAGTTGTTCCTTAGAGACGAATGGCCGTTCCTTGGGGACGAACGACAGTTCGTTCATAAAGAATTGTTGTTTTATTCATAAGGAACAAATATTCCTTATAAATGAATGGTCGTTCATCCCTAAGAAATGATCGTTGGTGTCTAGTCAAAATCATTTAGTGTATTGAGTGTGGTGGGAGCTGAAATGACAATTGTCAACTCAATTGCCACGTTAGGGTTGTAAGAGAAGGTTATGAGATTGGATTATAAATATAATATTACTCAACCTACAACATCCCACGTGCACGATCGAAGTGCACAAACACCTTATAAAACCTCTTCAACACATTTCAAGAAAATAATAAAAAATGATTACAATAATTTTGCATCAGCATTTACGTTTTAACTGTGGGCTAGGTTTTAGATTTTTTAGTTTTTATCTTTTTATTATTAATTTATTAATTTTTTTTTTATTTCCATTTTCATTAACTATTAATAATTACAAAATTATGTGTCATTTACTCTTTACCCTCTTTATTGTCAAATAACGAAACAATCGTAATGGTAGGAGGCTTTGCATTATTAACGATAGGTGAGGAAGGTTCAAATAAACCTTTGTGGGGTTTAACTAATTATCCCATGGTTGGAACATAGGCTCGATTACAGGGTAGATTCAAAACTGAAAGAATAACAATATCCTCTTCAAGGTTTGGGAGAGTAAAAACTTATCCAAGGGTTTCAGAAATAACAAAAAACACCAAAATTTGACAAACCTTAAAAACCATTAACATAAACAAATTTAAAATAAGTGATGTCAACCCAAGGGATTGGTGCAAAGTGTGTTGAGGAAGCTTCTATGGTTCAAGAAAGATTGACAGGTTTTACTTTTACCAGAATATAGTCGTTGTATAGGTAACGACGATGTTAACTTTTCTTTATTGATTTTTTGCCGTTACTGATTATAAGTAATACTATATTGATTATTTTAATTTTTCTTTTAAGGATCCTTTAAGTTAGTTTTTTCACTTAAATTGTCAACTGAAAATTTTAATCCGTTGATTGATTACTATCCAATGGTTTAAGAGTTGATGAGATAACAATGAAAATAAACACTTTCAACTTCCATCTCAATATTTATTGTCATAGATTTGTATTCCAATTTAAGTTAAAAAGAACCAACCCATTTTAATAATATTTATATTACATGTAATTATGGTATTGGCAGAATAATACAAGTGAGGGTAAAATGGTACTTGCAAAAAAAATTTAGTACAACGGCTAGTTTCTTTAACCTCATCAAATATTAGGGTTTTGATGTAACATTCTAAAATCCTTGGGTCTTATGTACCAAGGTACAAGGTGGTTTTTGTTATTTTCCCATTCGAAACGTGGTGGACAAATATGGTTCTTGTTCGAAAGTTTGAGGTTGGTTAGGGTTCGTGTACATCACCCATATCAAACCAAAAATTTGATTTTTTTTTTTTTTTTTTTTGCCCTGAATAGTCAAAGACTGACTGAATAGATTGAAACAAATATGTTGCGCGGTGCGAGATGTTTTCGGTCTCGTCAATTCATCCACGGCCGTTCTCTTCTCAGTAGCAGCTCCAGTTCGAGTTCAACTTTAAGCTCAAGCTCTAGTTCAATTTCTGAGACGAATAAATCTTTTTTATTAATAAACAATGCTTCAAGAACAACCGGAACAGGGAATCATTTTTCCTCAATCAATTCTTTCCTTTCGGATTCTAATAATTACTATAAAAATCAACACCGTACAGTGTTGTTTTCGACAGCTTCAACATCGGAACCGGTTCAGAACAAGAACAAACCGGCGTTTTCTGCCGTTAGTGACAATCAAATTGCCGACATGAAGATTCTGCGGACTCTTGCGAGTTACTTGTGGATGAAAGATAATGTTGAGTTTCGTTTGAGAGTAATAACTGCTTTGGGGTTTTTAGTTGGGGCTAAAGTTTTGAATGTTCAAGTTCCTTTTCTTTTCAAGCTCGCTGTTGATTGGCTAACTAATGATAATGTTAATGCTAATTCTACGCTACTAGCTCTTTTTGCTACACCAGCTGCTGTTTTAATCGGTTATGGGATTGCCCGCTCGGCAGCGTCTGCTTTCAACGGTATATCATGTAATTTTACTAGTACTATTCTTTCATTTCGCTTTCTTTTTTAACTTTATGATTCTTTTTTTAATTAAATGTAATTTTACCAGAACTGAGGACTGCTGTGTTCTCTAAGGTTGCGCTGCGAACAATCCGTTCTGTATCTAGGAAGGTATATATGTTTTCTAGTTAGTTGTATTTGTTAAATAACTCTCATAGACTTGCAAATTAGTTTCTACTCTGAACATCAGATGCTATGAGTTGTGGTTTCTTACTTAATTGTTTACTTATGCAGGTGTTCTCACATTTGCACGACCTTGACCTTCGATATCATCTTAGGTAATACTTATGTCTCTAAAATTTATTTATTTATTTGTTTATTTTTGTGCTGCAAGCTAGAAAAAATCTTTGTTATATGTGTTAAAGTTGAAGAATTATGTATCCTAAGCATCACACAAGCAAGTAGTCAAAGTAGACCTTCAAGTAACAATTATATAGTCCAATAGTCAAGTAGTCTTGGGATACTTGACTATTGGACTATATATAACTGATAAGACTCATTGGTATACTAAAGAGATGATAGAAAAATAAGAAAGCAAGCTTACCTGCTTCAGTTCTTGTGTAGCATGTTTATAGATAGAAATTGAACTTGCTTAAAAGAATTGTTGATATTTTTCTCTAGAAAAATTCAAATGCAATATCAGAAAATGTTTCCAATTGTTGATTGAATTAGCTTTCGAATGGTTTATATCTTTTTGCATAGTAGTACATATCAAATTGATACCAGTTTTATCTTGAAAACACTTCTGAATTTGATTCTAGTGCAAACTTGATTAGTAGGGTATTAATATAGGAATTTGTATCCTGTCTATAAATTAAGGCCTTGTATTTGGATGCCTAACCGTCAATGTCCCATGGCTAATTTAGCTGTTGTTATTGGATTGCTATTGATGGTGGAAGCTGTGTAACAGTAGATCTTAAGTATCAAAATCTCCATTAAGCTGCATCCAAAGCCTTATTGGGTTCTATTGTTGAAGAAAGGTAGTGAGGTAAAAATTCAAATCAGTGTTGAGTTTTATTTTCCAATCGATAAAATTCCAAGTACCAAATTTCGGCTTTTATTTTATTTTATTTTTATTTGAAACAAAAGAAAATATTTTATTAATCAAAGAAAATATATTATCATATTAATCATGTTAAGTTTAAAGGAAAAAGATAGATATGTTTTCATCTATGGTTAGAATGATTTTCAGCCAAAATGTAAGCTATTTTCTATGGTCCATTCAAGGTACTCAAATGTATTGGTGAAAACCTTTATCGCAATAACTTGCCTGAAAAGTAAAGTGTTTAAGTTAATATAAAGGTTGCACTCTTTTGGTGAAAACTTCATAAAGGAAATCTTAATCAACTTGGGGAGTTTGGCATAGGATTTTCAAGTATGTGACCTTTAATCTGCACTCACTTGATATCCAAGTTTTATTTTAATGAGTTATACATTAAGGTTGCATCATATTCAAGGGATTTTTTCTAGGAAAACTTGTAGCAATATGAAAAATTATTATACAATATATTATTCATTGCAAAGCTCTTTTAGTCAAGGTTCTACTGCTTTTTATTGTGCTAAATTTGGATTTTTCTCAAGAAGTTATGGTTGATTGTTCATTTAATTTTTTTTTCAGTTACCAAGAACTGTAAGTCGTCAACCTTCTAAGTTAAATAGTAGATTTGTTGTTCCACTTGGTTGGTATTGGGCTAAGTTTGTATATGTTGATGTATTACATGTTTTGCGGCGGCGTTTTTTGGATTGTATATAAAAGAGAAACTAGAATGCTACAGGAGCTCTTTGTTGCTTTTTGTATAGATTTGTAATAGGCCAGAGGGGGGCTGCTCTTGTTTATTTCACCCTTGTAATCCTTTTCTTTATCATCTATTAATGAAATTTTCTTAAGAAGAAGAGCTAGATTCAATATCATGATCCACACATGATGGGAATGTCATTTTAAACATTTAACAGCCATCTTGGAGTGATGTGATACAGGAAGACTTTTTTTATTTATTGTCATGGGGGAAGACTTTTATTTCTTCTATTTATTGACAGATATGATGTAATTGTAACACATCAATCTTTATGAGATGTGCTGAAACATTTTTTGATTATGATGCTCTAATTCATATAACTGCCCTTTTCTAATTTAAATTAGTTTGGGCCATTCAATTACACATGTCTGATTTTGTTGCTTAATTCATCATTTTGTTTTCAGCCGAGAAACAGGTGCTTTAAATAGAATAATTGATCGTGGTAGCCGAGGGATAAATTTTATCCTCTCTTCTATGGTTTTCAATGTTGTACCCACCATTTTAGAGGTATGACTGTTTCTTTGGTTATTATTGAGCTATTTAATTTTATGACAGTTGCTGCCAGTACTGGCCCCTTTTCTTCGGCATGCTGTTGCCCATTATAGATGGTATCAAGTATATGGTGGAGTCTTCAATTTCTGGTTATTATATGCTTAAATTGTATGTCTTTCCATGCTTTTGCTTCACAAATAATTATAGAGAGTTAACATATATCCTTCCAGATATCAATGGTGTCAGGCATACTGGCATACAAATTTGGAGCACCGTTTGCATGGATCACTTCACTTTCTGTTGCTGCCTATATTGTCTTCACATTGTCAGTGACACAGGTATTCGTCTCCTGTAAATTCTGTCAATATTGTAGTAGACAGTTCCTTAGGAATTAAATGGTGTATCTCATTTCTTTGCTGTTCATTGCCTTTGTGTAAGCTTATCCTCATTTTTTACAGTGGCGGACAAAGTTTAGGAAGGCCATGAATAAAGCTGATAATGATGCAAATACAAGGGCAATTGATTCGTTAATCAATTATGAGGTAGGACTCAGGTGTATATGTTGTGAATTGTTTTTCTGGTGACATAAATTTAATGCAATCTTTTTCTTCTACTGCAGACTGTTAAATATTTCAACAATGAATCTTTTGAAGCAGAAAATTATGACAAGTTCTTAAAGAGTAAGTTGCTTAGTTGTTATGAAGTTCTTTCTTTTAATGCCATTCATCACATCAATCCAATGATTGAAAAGTTGTCATTTGACCATAAAAGTACCTACCTTTTGACTCTGCTCTTAAAAACCATTAGATTATAATGGACCAATGGTCTTCTAATCTGATCCGTTTTAAGAATCTGAACAGTAGAGAAGCCAAGTGTACCCTCTAAGTTAGACAATGCTCATGGTAAAAATGAAGACCTGTTATTTAATTCAACAGAGAAGACCCAACATTTGTTTGTCACCCTTTTAATGTGTGAATTGTAAAAACTGGATGGACAATATAGACCACTTGTTTGTTTTTCTTTTGTTCAATCATTGTTTTGGGTTGCTAATTTTTTCTAGTGACCCCAAAACTTCATTTGCTTATTGAGGATTTTTGTGTTCTCAGGGAGGTAGAAAAGTGGGAAGTGAGGAAACTGTTTTATAGGCTCAAATACTATATAGAAAGTATAATACATTCTTTCAACTTCATACTGAATAGCCTTAGTGATAGTGTATGTATAAAGATGTTTATATTGCTACAAGGAGAAAAGAACAAAATAAAAGAATTGCAACTATAAGAAGACAATTACAAGAATCATGACACATTCTCCTATGCATAAATAATGGCTCTAAACAATAATCTTACACTTATATAACAGCTGCACACTAGTCATATGGTTCTACACCTACTCCCCAAATGATAAAAACATTGAATAAAATAAAGCCAAACCAAAAATATAACATAGAGTTAATAAATCTGGCCCATTCTAGATTCTACTTTGCTACTGAAAAACCTCAGTGACCTTTTCTCATTGTTGGTCCTGCATCACTAACTTAAAATTGTTAGTAATCTCGCTGATTTGTTTGTGATCACAGAAGTTGTAGAGTTTAATATCTCTGATAATATATCTTGAGATGCCACTTCAAATGGCTTGGGTAGATTCTTAAAACCAATCCTGTTCATCTGTATGATGTTATTTTATTAAAACTTATTGTAAACACATATCTACTTTATGTGATGCTCCTGCACTGTTATGTATCTTTGCAATTGTTACTACCAACCTTCTGAAATCCATAGTATGCTTGTAGCTGAAGTGTTATTCCTGTATATGTCCCAGACAAGTTGGATTTTGAAAGGGAAATTTAATTCGGTTAACATATTGATAGGATTTACCGTCATACCATGAACTGCTAAACACACTAAAGGTTTTTTAGAGTTTTGTTTACCATTTTGGGACAAGGGAAAAAAAAAAAAGAGAGAGAATAAGAGAGGGAGAGGGATATAAATGGAAAAAGTTTACTCCAATTCTTTTTTGCTGTTTTCTAAATTTTGATGCTAATGCTACTCTTGTGGTGCTGCCTTTCAGGGTATGAAGATGCTGCCTTGAAAACACAAAGGAGTCTTGCTTTTCTGAATTTTGGTCAAAATGTGATATTTAGCACAGCTCTGTCTGCAGCTATGGTCCTGTTCTAGATGGATATTAGCAGGATGGAGTACTGCACTAGACAGAGCCAAACCAAAGCATTGAAAAGCTGTTAATTACGGTTTTAATGGTCATCACCAGCTATAGCTACATGGATATTAGTAGGATGGAGTACTGTACTAGACAGAGCCAAACCAAAGCATTGAAAATGCCATGTTCCATCAGACAAAGCTGCTGTCTTATAGTTTAAACACACCTTGGAGAATTGAAAAAACAAACAAGTAAATATAAAAATTTATAATTATATAAAATAAAATATCGGGGAAAGAGAAAGAGAAAGAGAGAAAGTGCCATAATTAGTGAAAGAAAAAGATGGGGAGGTGAATGATACATGGCACCTAGTTTTGGATCTTGTGTGATGCCATAATATATATTTCAGAGTTTTCATAAATGATGTGTTAAAAAGAAGGAAACAAAGAAAACAGAAAAACAATAAACCCACACTAGGGAAAACAACAAAGAGAGTGACTTCACATACAACTATTTATATTTAGTCTACTTCAAGGAGTACAAAGAATCTATCCCTCCTCTCACTATATAATTTCATCAAATCTTTTTCTTTGTTTTACTCTTTCTAACCAAGAAGAAGATGATATAGTTTCACTTCTTCTGCACAACACAGAGATCTATTTTCAAGCAAGTTGATATACTCAAGACAACTAGAATTCATGGATAACGTTATTCAGTTGCAGAAGAAGTTAGTTGACTACAAAACCTCTTTGTTCAATGAGGTCTGTATGTGTATTTTACTGTCAACTACATATATATTAAAGATTCTTTGATGCTGTTTTTATGTATGTATTTTTATTTCTTTTGATGATGAGTTATTGTGTTTGTGTGTTGAATAGGGAATTCTGGACGATCAGTTTACCCAACTTCAGCAACTGCAAGATGAAAGCAACCCAGATTTTGTAGTTGAAGTGGTGTCTCTTTTCTTTAAGGATAGTGAGAGGCTTTTTGATGAGTTGGCCAAGACCTTGTGAGGAGCTTTGCTCTCTTCTCTTAAGAAAAATCCTCTTCTTCTTCTTTTGCTTTTTCCTTTTATGTTGGAAATTTTCAGTCTACTAATGTGGTTGAGTTCTTGTTGTATTGCACAGAGATCAGCAGAACGTAGATTTCAATAGGTTGGATGCTCATGTTCATCAGCTGAAAGGCAGCAGCTCCAGGTGGTTATGGTTTCCTTTGTTATTTCTTTCATTTGGACTCTCATTTATTTCCCATGAAACTCATTTATAATATAAAAATCATGTATCAAAAGACTGCAACTTTGTTTTTAGATTTCTAGTTTGAACAATTAGTGAAGCAATGTTCATTAATTCTTTTACTAAACACTCTCCAAAAGAAAATTTTGCTTTTGCAGTGCTTAATTTATGTTACGGGAACAACTGTTCCATAAGTAATTGTTTTAATAAAATGTTGAATTAACTGTCTACTTTGTGGGTAATTAATTTTAGCACTCTTTTTGTTTCCCAACATCTTTGTCCCACATCAACTAAGCATAAGTTGACCACATCTTATCCACAGTTGTACTAGAAAGAAAAAACTATCATTATTTACATCAACTCTTTTTTGTATTTACTTTCATGAATTACAGCTTTAGTGAACACTAACTGTGCACTTGAATTAAGTAACAGCATTGGAGCACAGAGAGTTCAGAAAGTATGCATTCTCTTTCGCAACTACTGTGAAGTGAGGAACATTGAAGAGTGAGTTTATTTATTAACAATTAGCTAGTTTTAATTATGATAATATATGTTCCATTATTTGATGTGAAAATTGGTCTCTTTGTAGATGTCTGAAATGTCTGCAACAATTGAAGAGAGAGTATTATTTCGTGAAAAATAAGCTTGAAACTCTGTTCAAGGTATGTTGAAAACATTATATATAGTTCTTGATTATTTGTGTTGTCCTATAAAACATGTTAAAGACCATTTTTACAGTTGCATTGTCTGTATATTTATTTATATCTACTTATTTGATTGCAGCTTGAGAAACAAATCATGGAAGCTGGTGGGACAATTCCAGTGCAATGAAATGCAGCAGATTCATGATCAATCTGCAGAAAAAATTAAATAAGCTAGTATGGATCAGCTGGCCATGTAGAGTAAGTACTTTTTTTGTTTTCTTTGTTTGTTGTTGAGTCAGTTGTAGTTCATGTTCAGGAAGATTTAAGCTACCAGAGAGGGTTAACCAGATTTCGATCTTAATTAAGCTTTGTATAATATCATCATACAATGTATCACCAATGAAGATCAAGAATGTAAATAAATTAACCCTCCTTTATCTATATCGGCGTTGCACTTCATTATGGGCACATGAAAGGAAATAAAAGGACATAAATTTAATTGTCTTCATGAATGGTAAAAGGTAAATTCAATTCTTTTCAATGCATCGAATGTGAATTGATATAACAAAGTACCTTTGTGTAATCAAGTGATTCGATAAAGACTCTTAGGTGTATTATTCAAAAGGTTTTGAGTTTGAATCCCTTTTCGATTGTTACTAAGGGTAGCCATTGAAACTCTTATTCGAATATTAATTAAGATGCACGTAAGCTGGTCTGGACACTACTTCATCAAAAAGAAATAAGAAAAGTTTTTGTATGTTTGTACTCTTAAAATATGTTTCTCTTACAATACATGTTAAGATAACTCTAGTTTAATCATAAATCGATTAAAAATTACCAGAAAATTATCCTTCATTAATATAGAAATGTCAATATCAGTAATTGACTTATCAATTTCCCTTTTGCTGTGCAACTAAACAAACATTGTCTTCTGCTAAACTGTTTGATGCTACATATATTTAATTCTGAGCTTGTTCAATGCCAACTCCTTGCTTGTATGAACAGCTAGTTGATCAACCACACCAAACAAAAGGGCTCCACAGCTATAACAAATGATTGACACCAAATATTCTTATGCTGCAATGTTAATATGTCCATCTCAGAATGGCAAAACATTACAGTTTTTTTTTCTCATGAATCATTTGTATTTCTATGGCCATGTCCCCATCTGGTTCAACTAAATTTAGCAACCACTCGTACATTTTTTTGTATGAAAACTCTTGCTTTCAAGGAACAAACTTTTGCATTGGCTAAACAAAAACTTGAAGCCACCGACCATTGTTATTAGCCTTTACGTATCTGATATTTTATGCCTATATTTTAATGGCAAAAAAAAAAAAAAGTGGTTAGCAATGCACATATGTGGGTATTTAAAATACAGAAGAAACCCCACGTTGGTGTGTTTATTTGTTAATTAAGTTTCCAACTTTCATGATAACTATTCCCACAACTCATATTACATTCATTGCACACAACGTATTTTATATTTCAGTCAACTGTTTTCACATGGGGTGGGATGTCTCCTGGTCTGCAGGTAATCTGCAAGCAAGCTCAAAATATTATGCTCCAATGGCACCTTCTTTAACTCATTATACTATATAAACTATTCTAGTTGATCTTACAGGGGTTGAAACTTTCACACCAAATTATATAATAAACTCTCCCTTAATGTTCACTCTCCAATGGGGTATAGCATTCATCTCAAAAGAATAACTCAATTTGCCAAAGCTATAAAGTAATCGAGGGATCTCAAAAGATGGAAAATGACCATTTTGAAGGGGTTTGAAAGGGAAAGGTACAATAGTTTAATGAGGGAAAGTTTAAGATCTAATGTGAATGAGAGCAAGGTCGGCTCTGTGCTAAGAGTTTCCAGCTTGGCAGATTCCACCATCAGTTGTACCTTTGTTAATATTTTAATGTAATCAGAAAATATTAATCCCAAGTGCATGTATAGATTGATTCGGGAGAACCAGAAACATTGATTTACAACAAAATCTTATAAACTTTTTCTCACAACCTCAACGTGGCAATTTACAATTAATCAGCTCGAAATTTGGTAAGTGGGATCCATAGCAAGCAGACGAAACCCATTTGCGAGCTGACCAATTACAAGCTACCACGTTAAGGTTGTGAGACTGAGTTGTAAGTATAGTATTATCCTTTGAGAGAAAGTTTGAGTTGAACGGATATATCACATTATCTTTATATTTGTAATCAAATAAAATCTCATCATATTGTTAGAATTGACAACCACTTCAACAATTATAAGGGGTTTGCTTATAGGGACAACGCACACGGAGTGAGATATAAAGAAGACATTATTCTCTTCAGTAGTGGATCTAGAAATTTTTATTAGGGTGGACCAAAATAAAAGCTAATTAAACATTAACACTTTTGTCAATTAATATTTTTGTTAGGGTGGATCAAAATCCTAAAATTATACATATTAATATTTTTTTTTTTTTAAATTGAGCTAATGTTGGATCTGCCCTTGATTCTTGTATGAGTGAATGTATGTATTTGCTTATAAACCTAGTATATAAAGACATTATTATCTTGTATGAATGATCTATAGAAATATAATAAATACATTCAATGTAACGAGAGAGGTAAGGAAATATTTCAATAATATTTAATTCCACTGAACGTAATCCAATTTCAGATGAACCAAAATAAATTGTGCGTGTTTACTTGTTGCGTTATTTATGTGATTAGTTATATTTTGATTCCCAACCCTATAGACGATGTGGTACAACAATATTTTTACGTGTAAAGTTTTCTTTATTTAGAATGTTCAAAATATTATTGTCATGAGAACAAAACAGATAGGTTAATATACATCCTGCATCGTCACTTACTTATAACTAGTTGAGTTCAGGGTCCTCTTAATCTGATATTTTCTGTACTAAAGCTCCCATATAGCTACTAAACATGAACATTTTTAGAATATATAAAAAAGAATAATTATCATAGATAAAACATACCTTATTTATTCAGTTTTTTTTCCCTTATATTTTTCAGTCAATGAATGAACTTGACAGAAATGCATGAACCAGTAATCCAAAGATTATATATATATATATTGAATGGGAATAGTTTACTTTATTTAATTTAATTCTCACAACCAAAAAAAAAAAAAAAATGAATAAGATGCATTTAATCTCATCTTTATAAGAAATAGGATGGAATACTGTTTCTTAATAAGAAATAAAAGAAGAAGCATTTAATCTCATCATTATGAGAAAAGAGACGGGTTTGAGAAAAATTTTAGATTGTTCGAATTAAATTCTACGACAAACCTTTTGAGTTATAAGTTGTTGTTGATGTTAAACTCTCACATCTAACTAAGAGACGAGAGTCTTGGTCGCTTATATAGTATAAGAACACCCTCAAAACTTAGAGACGTATTTTCATGACAAAATCGTACGGGCTTATCAGGAGCATAGCCAGTGGTCTCAAAGCAGACAATATTTCATGGAACCCATGTGACTAAAGAGGCGTAACAACAGTTATAGACAGAGATTAAAATCCAGGAAGAAAAGTTATCAATCATGGGGCTTTGGAAAGAGTTTTACTGAAGCTTAAATAACACTACTCAAACGAGAAGGAGACGAATAACACAAATGTATAACTTGCTTGCATTGGGCTGATTTAACATTTGGGCTCATATAACAGTTCGTATATAAGCTGAACCAACAAAGGCTTCAACGAAGCAGAAACCAATACCAAGCCATTATTGGTGTCGTATTTGTTCTAGTCAGAAAATTATAACTAACTTATCGGGTTTGGATCACTGAGAACCCAAATCCCTTGATCGGCCCAAACACTGATTCCCTTACTGGGCTTTTTTGAAATGAGTTAATTGAATCATGGTTACTGTGTCATTAATTGTTGTTGGCATTGGGATTTATGATTTACATAAGGCCGAACCACATGCACCCACTCATAATTTTTCGTAAAGACAAGTTGGTACCTAAAAAGTTTGAAAATGATAAAATACTATTTTTCGTCAGAATCTGTTAACGAATTCCGTTTGAAGAAGGACAATAAGGTAATTTTGCATTCAGCCTAGAAAGAAAGCCTCTTCCCTCTCTTTTCTTCCTTTTTTTTTTTTTCTTTTCTTCAAATTTTTCTACTGTGTCGCTTCCAAAGAAAGCAGCATAATTTTCTCTCCTCTTCTTTCTCTTATTTTTTCTTTCTTCTTCTCTTCCTCTTCAATTTTTTTTTTCTCTTTTGCAGATCTAGGCAATCGTTTCTTTTTTTTTTCTCTTCCCTCCCTTCTCCTCTCTTTTTCTTATTTCTTTGGCCAGCCACTTCTCCCTTCTCCTCTCTTTCGTTGGAGTCATTGAACTATGTCCATCAGTACTCTATCAAGAAGCTTGCTTTGGGAGCAACAGCAAACAAACACTATGCAAAGCATGTTTATCATCAAGTGGGAACTAATTGGTGGAGTAGATGGTGTTTGTGGTAGAGGTGAAGCTTTTGGTGGATCAGATGGTGGTGATGGAGATAAATTTGATTGTGAAGGAGAACCTGTTGGTGGATTGGCCACTAGTGGTGCTGGGGAATTCGTTGGTGGAGTAAATACTAGTGGTGGTGGAGGTGAACTCCTTGGTGGATTAGATACTGGCAGTGATGGGGGCAATGAACTCATTGGTGGATTGGATGCTATTGGTGATGGTGGTGGTGGTCGACATGAACTGGTTGGTGGATTAGATACAGGTGGAGATGGTGGTGGTGATGTAGGTGAAATGGATTGTTGAGGAGGAGGGGGAGAAGGTGTAGAAGTCAATGGGGGTGGAGATGCATTTTGAGGAGGTGGTGGTGAGACAGGTGGTTGTGCAAGAGGTGATGGAGTAGGAGGTGTGGAGAGGTCACATGGATTTGCATTAGGCTTAGAAGGTGTGGAGAAGATGGCTGTGACAATGGTGGTGGACTGGTGTTAGATGGTGGTGGAGGGTGGTGAAGGTGGCACAACAGTGGGAGATGAATTTGGAAGTGCATAACAGTAAAGAAAATTTTGAAGAAAATAGAGGATAAAATTACCATACTATCCTTCTTCAAACGGAATTCATTAACAGAATCTGACGTAAAATTGTTGTTTGTCATTTCTAAACCTTTTAGGTACCATTTTATCATGTCGTTTGGCCTTTACATAATTATTGCTAAAATCAAAAGATACAACATAACTCAAATAAATATTTTTATTAATTTTTCATTTATATTACTAAGTATACGTGAAATAAAAAATTAACATGAAGAATTATATTTAAAAACTTATAAATGAAACTATTATTTAGTTTTAATATCATCTTTTATACCCAACAAACATTTAAATGTACCCAAACGTTAATGATCTAAGTTTATTGTTTCATTATTATAATTTTAAAAATATATATATAAATTTTAAATTAATTTGGGTACAAAAATTTATCATAAGTTGCTTTAATCCTTTTTTTTATTTTTTTTTTTTGGAATTACAATTACATGGTTTTACATTATGGATATATAATTTGATTGATTATAATAAAACTTTGATATTAAATAAAATACTAATAGATTTATATAGTATTAAATATCACATATGGGCCATATGGCTATATGCACACATTAATTTCAACCACATCTTGTAATTTTGTCTTTTAAGCTAACCAAGGTTCTCTCGAGCTCCCCAAAAAACCCTAAAACTTTGGGCCCCAATTTTTGAATCTTAAAACGACCCTCCATTTTCTGTCTCTATCTCTATCTCTATTTCTCCACCATAAAAACCCTAGCAAAACCCTAATCTTCAAATCTCTTGTCTTTCATTTTCCACCGCAAGAATGGCAAAGAAGAAAGTGACCCAGAAGTCCAATGACACCAACCAAGATAACCCACCAGATCAAAAGACTCAACACAAAACTGAGGAGAAAACCCTCATTGACAAACCCACCATGGAGGATCTTTCAGAGAATATCAAAAATCTGAAGAGTCTTAACTCTATGCTACTCAAAGAGACCATTGAGAGGAGACAGCAGGTGGATTCGTTGAATCAAGCCAAGGAAGACTTGGAGTCTCAGTTGGCTCGATTCAGTTCTGAAAAGAGTGAGTTGGTGGCTCAGTTGAGTGGGGAGAGTGAGAAAAATGTGAGCTTGGAGATAGAGAAGGTTTTGTTTAGTGTTTTTGTGACGACCCAAATGAAAGAAATGGGTCTAGAGTTTGATAAAGAGAATAGTGAGAGAGAGAATGAGATTAGGGTTCTTCAGAGTGAACTGAATGAACTGATGGGTACTCTTGAAAATGAGAGGAGGAAGGTGATTCAGACTTGTAGAGATAGGGATGTGCTGAAGAGTTTTGGTGAACAGGAAGCTTTGAAGGCACATGAGTTGAAGGAAATATTGGTTGAAATGGAGAAAAAAGAAGGTGATTTTAAAGATGAGATTTTGATTCTAAAGAAAGAATATGAAAGGTTAATGGAGGAGAAAAATGAGAAGGACAGCGACTATGAAGCTGTAAAAGAAGAGAAAGGATTTGTGGAGAGGAGATTGGATGAGACTGTGAAGAAGATTGATGGTTTGAAGGAAGAGATGGAAGCGATTGTAAGGGAAAAGAAAAAAATGGAGATCGAGAAAAGTGGGCAAAAGGTGAAAGTTGATGAGTTGAACAAAGAAGTAGAGAGATTGAATGATGTTGTTTTGGAATTTCATAAGGAGGAGAAAGTGTTGCGTGAAAAAGTTTTGGAATTGGAGAAGAGTTTCTGCGACGCTAGGGACAAGAAAAAGGAGATGGCATTGAAGATCAATGATTTGATAAGTGAGAAAACACAAAAGCAGAGCAGTATTGAGAGGCTTATAGAGGAAAAGGAGGGGATCTCTCGGAGGTTGGACATGGCCATTGTGGAATTAAATGATAAGGAGGGCCAAATTGAGAAACTGCTCCGTAAGAAGAATGAGACTGAAGAGAAGAAAGTTAGTCAGGAGGTTGAGATTATTGAGCTGCATAAAGAGATTGGGGAACTGAGGGATGTTGTTTTTACATTGAAGGAGTCAAATAGGGATCAAGAAGAGAAAAACAAGCGCTTGCTGAATGAAGTTAGGGACTATAAAAATTCTCTTGATCGGATTATGCATGAGAAAGATGAAGCTAAAAAGGGTTTGGATGAAGAGAAAAAGAATGGCATGGCATTGCTATCAGAAATGTAAAAGAGGATGCAGGAGAATGTAGGAGAATTGACAAAAATTAGGAATGAGCACGAGAGCCTCATCGAGGAAAATAAAAAAATGCAGGGTCACATTGGGTTGTTGACGGAGGAAAAAGAATTGGTGCAGAAGAATCTTTTGGAGGCAAAACAAGCTGCTGACGATTTGAAGGCTAAAATGGAATCAATTGGCTTCAACTCTGATCGAGCTTTAAACATGCTGAAGAATACTGCAGCTGTAGTGTGTCAATCTAAAGATGATCTTGATGGGAAGGAAAAAGTGTTGGTCAATACTAAGAAGCTTGGAGATGAAACTGAAATGTTTGCGGCTGAATTGGAAGCAATTCAAACTGCATTTAGGAACAAGGAGAAAGTGGTGGAAGACATGAAGCAGCAAGTTGAGTTCCTGCAGAATTCTGAGGTGGAGGCACATAAGAAAAAGAACTTCTGGACTGTGGTGTCTTCTGCAACAACTCTATTTGCCGCAGCATCGGTTGCATATGCTGCTAGAATCCGCTGACTGGTTGGATCTACTATCTAATTTTGTTAATTAGAAGATGTTGCTGTGGCTCTAAGATTACTAATCAAGTTCTCCTTGACCACATGCAAATTTGATACTTTTTTAACTTCTGCTTATGAAAATAATGTCTCTTTTGAATGATGCTGAAATAACAACATTTTGTGACATTTTAAAATGCTTTGAGTATGTTATGATCAATCTATTATCCTTCTCTGATGACTGTGCATTTATTGGTCTCAGCTTGTGCTCTATTGGTATCTTTATGTACCAGTTGTAGTAAATCTGCATCTTCATTACTATTGCTGTTTCTAACTCTCATCTCCTTGGTGAAATTTAAGGTTAAAATAGTGGATGCAAAAACTAGAGAGTTTGATTAAATGGTGAATATGAAAGGGTGGTTGCTATAATCTTAAACTGCATGTAATTAAGAATTCATATGAACTGCTATTTTTTTCCATGTTATACAGTCCTCTCCATCTGATTACATAATCTTCGAGATTGCTTTGTGGATTATCATAGAGCTATTAAGGTGTGTAGGGTTATATTGGAATATGATGTAAGCGTCAGTGGCTCTGTAGTAGCAGTTGCCCTATTTTATTAAGTTGATGATACTTTGCTTGTGTGACTTTTTTTTATAATGGGGTGTCAGGTCAGTTAATCTTACAACTCTAAAGAACCAGATAAGTTACAATATTATTGTTATGGATGGTCTTAAGATTTGAATCAAAAAACTCAAGGAAGGAAGCAAACCTCTTGACCATCAGCCAACCCCTTCAAGAGTTCTTGTGTGACTTTCCTACCTTTCTTTGAATGTGCACTCTCTTAATTTTCATCTGTCGGTGAGATAGATGAATCATGACATAATTTTTTGTATTTTAGCTGCATATAATAAAGCAGCGTCAATTTTATCAATCACTATCACCATGTTTTTCTTCATTTCAAATTACCTAATCCTGCAAAAAGGTGAGGAAAAAAGGAAAGGCGGCCTGGAACCGGTTTACATTCTAATCTTCCAGATGGCTCTCTTTCTGCATTAGTGAGGTCTTAATCTCTGCTTTATAAGGTGTGTTCATTGTGAAATATTGATTAGGCATCGACTATACCTATGAACATATATGACCAAAGCTGTGTTGGGATAACTGCTGAAGATCATGATCTGGGTTATCAAAAAGAGATCCAATGGTAAGTAACCATTGTAGTAAACCTCTATGTAAGATTAATCTTTGTTGTTCTTCGTTTATGTTGTGGCAGAGTCAAACTTTGTTTGTCATTCAACACTATCGTGGCACTTGTACAGAGAAACATTAACTATGTCTCATTTAGTCTCAGTTGTCAAGATTTTTATTGCCTGAATGGTTTCGTGTTGTGCAATGCAACGGCAAAGTTTTAATTACTGAATAATGGCACCTAACAGCTTGTAAGTCAATTACTTTCATGGTACCCAAACATATAATAATACTCAAAAAAACAGATGGTTGGTTGTCCATGTATAGCTGTAGCAAGAGTGTTTTTGTTTTCTTTATCTGATTTTGGGTTGAGATTTGACTCTGCAAAACACAATTTGTTTTCTTGTGACATTAAAAGAGTAAGATGGTTGTTTTTATTCATTAATATAATCAAGCCAATTTGCTAATGGTGGCATCATGCATAAAAACTTGGCCCACAAAGGTTCAATTAATCAGGGTTATGTCTTTATCAAAAGGCTTAGCTGTTTTTTTATCAGTATGCTAATATTCTTTTGTCATTGTGAAAGCAAATCCTACATCTTATAAATGGATGTGTGTGGTTCTGTCATCTGTGAGTGGTCCCCTTAATGCATCCAAAGTCTAACCACCACGATATTGGGTTCTCCACTTACAAAACAAGCCAAGTTTTTTGTGTATCTATAGCTATATATCAAGCTCTGGATTTACTCATTTTTAACATGGCATTCAAGAACTGACAAGAATCTACCAAATCAATCCCTTTCTTTGGGCAAAATGGACTTACTGAATTTGCTCCCCAATCATTTGCGGCAATGTCTTTATACACTTTGTTTGTGGGGTTGAAATTATCTTAATTTTAGGACACTAGATTAAATGGACTGAATGGCAGCTCCTTAAATTGTGCAACTTTATCTTCTGTGTAGTTTATATTTCTAGATCTTGTTTCTTTGCTTATGACTATCAATCAATCAACAAAATCATACTATTCTGAACCCTAAAAACTCTACCTCATTCACAATTTCTTGCTACAAAGAACAGCATTATAACATTTAACATTTTGTATCAGTTAAAACACAAGCACAAAGAAAAGAATCCCAAATCCCATATTAAGCTCCATCTGGAAACAAAACACTTGAAACAGGTGGACACCAGAAGCTGCATATAGTCCTAAAAATTAAAGCTCAAGAAGGTAGTAGTTAGCACAAGCATCGAAAATCCCAGCATGGATTTCAATGGTAACAATTGACATAAGATTTCAAAGTAAGGCTCTCAAGATGTCTCAATAATCAATATCATTGTATTTACAGTTGCCAAGGAGTCTTGTCATCCACAAAACATCATGAATAAACAAGTAAGGGGGGAAGAAGATGGTGACAACAGGCACAAAAGATAAGCAAACATCTTTATATATACTAGAACATATGTATACACATGCAGGATTACAATAGCATGGAAGATTTCCCATCCATGTTCTAAAATTAGCTTATATAATATTAGCTGGTATTCAATCCAATTGATCGGCCACCAAATGTTATCCCAACAATTCTACCTTCCTCTCTCCGATGTGGCTGGAAGCCAGAATTGGTACTCTTAGATACGTCGGTCTACTACACTTAGTCAAACAGTTCCTTCTGACACTGAAGCTTCACAGAACAACATAATCCAAGTCCAGAAAATTGTATTTTGTATACCAGAACACATCCTATCCAGCTAGATGCTGAACTATACCTTCTACTCCCAATAACTAAGTGTCCATGCCTTTTCATCTTGAGATTTCAAAGCCCAGAACCCATGGTAGCAGAATGCCACTGTCACCACAATTAATAAAACAGAAAACAATAACACTACACAAACATATAAACTGCAAACAACCCCTTAACTACCCAAGTGAAATGTCAAGCTTCTGTCAGGTATGGCTGCCAGTAGGTAAAGTTAAGTCTATTAACAGTCAGAACACACAAAATTACTTATCTCATCCATGACGACATAGAAGTGGTCATTATTAGCCAAGAAGTAGAAGCCAACTGTTGCCTGCTCCAGATACAGAAGTTTCGCGTCTTGGCCAGCCTCCTTCAGGCCTTCAAAATAGGCCAACTGCCAGTCTTGGATAAGGTCCAAACCGGCAACCACCACAAGGCTCTTAGGGAACTTCATTCCTTTAAGACTCCTACCATTAGGACCAAACGGGTTACAAGCTGGATGATCCCTATCTGCAGCTTCAGGGAGATATGCTCTCCAATACCAGTCCCGGTCTTGGATAGTGACAAAAAATTTCCCATCTAATCTTTTCTCAGATTCAGTTCGCTCCTGCCCACCAAACATTGGGTTGAGCAGTATATTACCCAATACTTCAATTCCTGAATCTACAGCTCTCAAAGCAACATGATGTACAATGTTACCACCCGAACTATCCCCAGCCAAGTATATATGAGCTTTTGAGCCCCTGCTTTGAAGCCATTGTCTTGAATTCACCCATTGAAGTACTGCCCATCCGTCATCATAAGCACATGGATATCGATTCTCAGGTGCCCGCCTATAGTTCACAGAAACAACAACAGCTTTGCAATTCCTCACAAGTTTGCGACATAAGAAATCATAGATAGCACTATTTGCAGAAGAGTGTGCAAAGCTTCCTCCATGAAAAAAAATTATTACAGGGACAACAACCTCAGAGCTCACAGGCTTCTCCAGATCAATAATGTTTGGTTGAGGTACCTCTCCATTTGCAGGTCTATATATCCTGCAGAGAAGACTAGTTTCGCGATCAATGATGGCGTCAAAAGAGAAAACACCATCAACTGCGTTTGCATTAGCAGGGACTTTCCGATCAAGGAATTCTGCCAAGTGGCGATTAAAAGTGCCATCAGGGCGACGTAGAAGATTGTACGCCAACTTGAAATTGGAGATAAGAACCCATGTATGCAATGGGACCCCCATCTATACAGAAGATAATAAGGATCAGAAATCCATTTCAAATTTGCAAGTGACACTTAATAAAAAATTAAAGTTCTAAAAAAGATTACTAGGATTTTAGCTATTATAAGCAGATGATTTAAAACTGCAAACAAGAACAAGAAAAAGCTAAAAGCCCCAAATATGAGAAAGTACACACTTCGATAAAGAGAAAAAAAAATATCAGAAAACAGAGCTAAAAAGAAATGAAATGGCATACAGAAACTCAAAGCTCATAGCCAAATGTTCAAATCAAAGCATAACCTCCATACTAACTTCAACTAGTACAAAACCACAGACGAAGAGAATCACAAGTTCAGAAGAATCTCGTCGGAAAAACTTACATGATCTTCAAAATCAATTAAACCACTGCAAAAAATAACTTTAAAACCTGCACTAGAACCACCAGTTTCACAACTTTTTTAGGAAAACAAAAGCAAACAATACAAAACCAAAGAAACCCATAGCCCACCACATTAAATCAAAACGTAAAAAGAAAGACTGCCCCAATCTCCTTAGAAACCCCATAACCCAGATAACAAAGATACCCCCTAACACTATCAATATGAGAGACGGAACAAGCCATCAATACAGGCATCATTGCCCCAGAAACACCCCAAAATCAGGTCAAACTCAGCTCTCAACAACCCAGACACTCAATAAGCCTAAACACCTACAGAAATCCATCAAAAAGTTCACATCTTTCCCCATAAAATAACACATAACCACAAGAAGCAGAACTTCAAGAAATTTGAAACAATGAAACACACACCTTGGAATCATTGAGATTAACTTCATTGCTTGCAGCCATCATCAAAACTATACCTTCAAAAAAACAAAAAACAAGCCTAATAACAAAAATCCAAAAAGCTTTAGTACAAAAATCACGTTTCAAGAGCAACCCACTTAACAAAATTTCACATGCTTAAATACCAACTTCACAGAATTATCTAGAATGCTAAAAAAAAACCCCCACCGAGTTTTGATCTTTTTCATCTCTCATTCGCACTCTCTAATATCAGATAAAGGAACAGTAGTCAGTAGTAAACTTAATCTCTCTCTCAACAGAGCTTAATAAATGATAAAAATGATGAAACGATAAAATCTAACTTCAATAAAACAGAGAGATGAGTTTAGACTTGAGAAGTGATGTGATGTGATAAGAAGAGAGGCGCATTTTAGCACAGCGTAATAGAGGGAACCTAAAGTGCGCTGAGAGAGTGAATGGGGACGATAAAGGCGACAAACTGAGCGGCCGAAAGATAGCTGGTAAGTGGGACCCATATGATAATAAAAAAATATTTTTTTAAATTTTAAAAAATTAAATAAATTTGTTTTCTGGAAATAGTTTCTAATTTGACTAATTGTGACGTCATAAATAGAAGGAGGGGTTTTTAATATGAATGTTTTTGGAGAAAAAGCCAAAGAAGAGAACGGGAGAGGACAAGAGCGTCCGTGCGTGCGGCCAACGCCAGAGCACGTGACGACAAACGGGGTCCGTCTCAAACCCTTTTCTAGGTCTCCCCCTCCCACTTTTCAATTACTCAAAACTTAGAAGAAAAAAAACTCGTAAAATTTCTAATAATATCTCTAATTTAGGTTTACAAATCCGGGGTTAGATTTGGGTTTACTTTAATTTATTTGTCGAATAATTTCATAAATAATAGATAATTGGATTAATATTCATTTGTTACAAGAGGTTTTGTTTATTTCAATTTGATTTAATTTTTTTTGGTAATTGAGATACTCACACGAGTTTGTGCATACCTCAACTGTTTATCGGGATCCTTAAACATCTTAAAAATCTAATAAATGATGAGTTACAAATATGATAGATGATCACTTTGTGAAAATCGAACACAAGACCTTTGAGTAACCCATCTAGAATTCTTATTATCCGACCACACACTAAATATTGAGTTTGATGTAATTCAAATATAAGATGAATTTGGATAGAATATAATACATATTTAATGTATTAAACAGATGTATATAAACAAATATTTTAAATTTTCCATCAAATTAAAATAAAATTTACATTATTAAATTATATATATATAGAGGTATATCAATGTATAATTGTAATTAATCTAAGCCTCCGTTTGTTACATTCTTGGAATACTATTATTAGTATTCCCAATAAAGTTAAACAGTGAAATTGACTTATTTTCAAAATACTATTCTATATTATTCAATTTCTTTTAAACTCTCATAAATTTGTTAATTTAACTAAATACCCCAAAATATTTTTTTAGAAATTACAAAAACACTCCAGAAATCCATATTTATCAGATTCTGACCACCATTGTCGAAAGCTGGCCGAAATATAGTATAATGATAGTGCGTCGAACTAGCTTTTTTCGGCCAGATCCACGATGGATCTGATAGAAAAAAGTCAGATCTTTGGTCGTAGCCAGTCATCAACGACAATCGTATCTTCGGTCATCGTTGACGACCAAATACAGTCAGATCTGACATCTTCTGGCAGTGCACGATCGGTAAGATCTAATCGGTCATGCACCGATACGACGACTACGATCACCCTTCGGCGGTGGTGGCCGACTATTCGTATTTAATGGATAAGTTGAGAGTATTTTATTAATTTTTAATATTTTATTATAGAGATATTTAGTAAATAAATAAATATACAAAATATTTTTATTAATTTCTAAAACCTACACAGAATATCTATTTAATTTAACTTTCTTTAAAATATTATTCTAAAATTACCATAATAACGAACGAAACAACCTAAAAATTTAACTTTATTTCACAAACTCTCGACACGTCACCTCAAACCATGATGTATGGTGCATGATATATGTCCCTAATGGCCAATTCACTTGATCATTATTATTTTATTACCCCTGAGGGATGAGCTGGCACTGGCACTGGCGCTCTCCTCTGAGGGCCTCCACTCTATTTTACTTCTCCATGTGTTGCACAATCAGCCGTGAGATCATGTTTTCGGATCCTGATTAGTTGTAGATGTTTGGATCCAGAAGGAAGGTGTAGAGTCCAATATCACGACACGTGTGCGTATATAAACCGTTCATTCGTGTCCACGGGGTAATCTTAAGGCCAGTTATTTTTTAAGAAGAGATAAGTGCGAAGTACCTTGTACTTGAATACAACCAAGTAACATAAATAAAGTACTTTGTGAAAGTTACAATTCTCTACCTCTTCCATAATGAATGATGAAAACCTAAATCTTTAAGCCACGATATTATTTAAAAAGTTTTAAGTTTAATTCATCTCGATTATTAATAAAAGTGATCATTAAAACTCTTACCTGATAAATGATGTGCATAAGCTAGCCTGCCCTAGACACCCTCATCAAAAAAATTTGAACCATTGGATTGAAGTGCTTCTAAACTGGCTCGAACACTTCGATCATAAAAAAAAAAAAATCTAAACCATTGGATTAGTAAGCCATTAGTATAGATATTTTTAAAGAAAAATGAGGTTTAAAAAAAAAATCCTAAATGAAGATGCATATAATTAAAATCTAATCAAAATGTCGAATCAACACGAGAATTTTCTCATAAAACTTTTTGTCATATTAGGTCATGCATGACTCGACACGATTGTTTGGTCGAGTTAGGTTAAAGGTGTTAACAAATCATGTCGAGTCGAGTTGACAAAACTTGTTCCAAGTTTCCTTGGTAATCTTTACGTATATTAAATTTGTTTATGATTTCTATTTAATTGTGCTTATCTTACAATAATCTTTTAGTAGGGCTTTTTCTTTTTCTTTTTATGTGATAAGGAACCATGCCAAGATCTTTTCACCATGTACAAATAGGGATGAGAATGTCGGTCCATAAGTTTGATTTAAAAAAAATAAAATAAAATAGAGAGGAGAATATAAAATGGCATATGTTTGAAAAGAAATAATTGAAATTTGTCTGATATGGAAGAAGAAGAAGAGGAAGAAAGGAAGAAAAGTGTAATGCCAAAGTCATTGTCAACTACTTCACAATCGCAGAAGCAGAAGCAGCTTTGGGTGACGACTGATGACTTTACTATTATTATTTTTATTATAATTAAGGTAGGCCCCATAATAAACAGTGGTTTTTTTGGAAGTATTGGGCGTATGGGTCAACAATTAGGAACCGGTTTTGGCTTCTTCTGTTTTAACTTTTTTCTTTTTAATTTAATTTAATTTTCTCCGTCAAAGTATATGGGTCCGCTTGGCTAGATACTTTTTCAAGATAATATTTTGAAAAAAAAGTTAAATGGGTTGGGTATTACGATATAAAATTTAAAAATTAATAAAAATATATTTTATATTTATTTATTTATTAAACACTCTTATAATAAAATATTAAAAATTAACAAAAACATTCTTAACTCATTTGTTAAATGTAGACAACCGGCTACCACCACCGAAGGATAGTCAGAGTCACCATATTAGTGTATGACTGACTAGATTTTACCCCTCATGCATTGATATGACATTTTTCTGGTTAGATCCACTGATCTACGACTAGATTTGGTCGTATTTGATCATTAACGATGATTATATATTGGCAGTAGATCTTACCAAAAAAGGCTAAATCAACACACTACCGGCCAGATTAAGCTAATAATAAGCCATTACATCAGATTTCGACCATCTTCTGATAACGATGGCTGAAATCTGGTAAACCTTCAATAACTATTTCTTATTAGTAATTATAAAGATTCAAACTCAGGATCTCTTTGAGTAATACACTCAAAAGTCTCAAGTAAACTGTCAAGTTATGTAGAGGTAGTTAAAATATCATCTCATCTTTCTTCCCTCGTTTCTTTGCTTTTGTTATATATGTTAATATGTTATTCGAGTGTATATGCACCAAATCTCACCTCATCAATTGTCCTTATAGAAAAATATCTTAATTGTATTTGCTGTCTCTCTTGGTCTCTATGCCCTACAAATACAGCTAAACAAATGTGTCCGAATTGAAAGGGTAAGAGAGGTAATTGAAGAGAGTCGTGTCAGAATTGAAAAGGCAAGAAAGATTATTGAAGATAACCTAAATATGCTTTAGAGATATTTTTGAAAGGTTAAGAGTGACAATTGAAGAGATTCTAATCATGTCTGAAAAATATCTTTGATAGGTCAATAGATATAATTAAAGAGACTTGAATTCGGAGTATATCCAAGAGATATATTTGATACGTAAGTATTTATATACACACATTCTCTGTATACAAACAATCGTAAAATATCGCATAACGATAATTTGATAAAATATAATTACTTGCTCAAAACATGACCTTTCAAATTAACATTAGTATGCAATAAAGATCCAATTACAGTGTGAGAGCAACTAAAATTATAAATATCATTATCAAAAGATTTAAGCAACGTAATGTTAATCCAGTCGAATTTCTTAGATTACGACAATCAAATAGTACACATGTTGGGGATAACCTTACCCCCACCGGCAACATTACATGACCGGTATTGTAATTATTGTGAGGGTGATGGAGGAAGAAAACAATAATATTGGGGGTGTTAATGTCGCATTAATTATTAGAGCCGTGTACAATTAATATGATTGCTAAATTGGCAATACTCAATGATTGAAATTTTGACGAAGGAATTTTATTTTTATTTTATTTTTTAAGAAGAGATAAGTGCGAAGTACCTTGTACTTGAATACAACCAAGTAACATAAATAAAGTACTTTGTGAAAGTTACAATTCTCCACATCTTCCCAATGCATGATGAAAATCTAAATCATTAACCATCCTTGGGTGACCTTAAGAAGTTTTGAATGGATATATTATTCACGGGATTTTCAATTTAATTCATCTCAAATTCTAATAAAGGTGATCATAGGAGTTCTTATCCGGTTAATAGTGTGCACAAACTAGTCTGTCTTAGACACCCTCGTCAAAAAAATCTGAAGCATTGGATTGAGTTACACGTAAGCTGGTCTGAACACTCCAATCATAAAAAAAAAAATCTAAACTAGAGATGGGCATAAAGCCTAGCTCGAACGGGAAGTATTTTCCCCGAATAGTTCTGGCTTTGAGCCAGGATCGGACCCAAGATTGGCCCCAAAATTCGAGGACGGGCTGGGGCCAGGATAGGTTTTGCCTCGACCCGAATTCCCTGGCCCGTATATATATATATATATATATTAATTTAAATAATTGAAAATCAATCATAT